ATTTTGAAAGTTTTTAAACTTTTAAAATCTGCCGACAATCTTAATACAAAACATAGCGCTTTGTTAGCCTTTGTAACAATATCATCAACGTGATTGTCAAACAGCAATTTTGAGTCAAAGGTAACACCTAGATCTCTGATAGCGCTGGTTCTATTTAGAGCAGTATGGTGTAATTTATAATTATATATTATAGGGTTAGGTTTACGTGTAAATGAGCAGATAAAACATTTAGATCAAGTTTATTGTTAAAACAATACGCTTCTAAATTAAAACAATACGATGAATATAATTTATCCTTTTGAAGCCTAGAACAACTTTCCAAATCTGTAATAGGACAGAAGATTTTCATATCGTCAGCGTAAAGAATAATTTTGGAACTTTTAAAACACGTATCGATATCATTGATAAAAATTTAAAAGAGCAAAGGACCTAATATGGATCCTTGCGGTATGCCAGACGATATATGGATTGTAGAGGAACGATATCCACCAAGGACGACAAATTGACTTCGATTTCTGATATATGACCATCTGAACAAATCAACTCTGATACCCATTGTAAAGAGTTTACGTAAAAGAAATAAATGATCAATTCTGTCGAATGCTTTGCAATAGTCTGTATATACTACGTCAACTTGTGATGGTTTGGACATAAAGCTAGTTATATAGTCGGAACAAATAATAAGGTTTGACACAGTGGATCTATTTTTTAAGAAACCATGTTGGTTTTCACTAAATGTGTGACGAAGAGAAGAGTACACCTGTTGTAAATTATTTTTTCAAGCACTTTAGCAAATAGACAGAGCTTAGAAATGGGACGATAATGCTGTACCTCATCCTTAGGTCCTTTTTTTATGTATTGGAGTAATAAACACATTTTTCCTAATATTTGGAAACATGCTTTCCTTTAAAGAACGGCGGTACAGGATGCTCAGAGGCAAAGTAAGGGAGCCCGCACAACGTACGATGAAGATCGCCGGGATACCGTCTGGTCCAGCTGATTTGTGCGGGTCGATAGTCTTTAAAAGTCTGGATACCTCGGCTTCTTTTACTTCGATGGAATTGATATCGACAGGAGATTGATCAATTTTCGTGTCAATAATATTAAAGTCTGCTGTGTCAGAATCGTGAAGAAAGTTGGACTTAAAAAACTGCTTAAAGAAATCACAAATTACTTCATCTTTGCTTGAAGAATATTGACCTAATTTCATACTAGAAGGATATGAATTAGAGATTTTTTACTCTTGACAAAGTTCCAGAAGGCTTTCGGTGATTTGCTTATGTTATTTTCTATATCGCGAATGTAAACTTCGTACATACTTTTTTCAAGAACCTTACCACGTTCCCTTGATAAAATAAAAGAATCAAGATCGGAAGTGTTTCTATATTTCTTATACTTAGAGTGGTACTTCATTTTTTCTTTTAAGATTTTAATCAGGGGAGTTTTATACCAAGGAGGAAATCTGGAAGTTGGTTGACAGTTTTGCAAGGGACATGTGCATTGATTAACGTTTTTAACTTATCATACAATAAGAGTACAGCCTCCTCTAAAGTACCAATTCTGAGACAGTTTGACCAGTCCGTACTATCAAGTTGTTGGCATATTTTAGTGTAGTCTGCTAAATTATACAGGAATTTAGTTTTGGTTTGCGGTGAAAGCATATACTGGTGGATGAAATCAACAGATATACATAATGCCATGTGATGATGATTTTCCGATACCAAAGGGTCCAGACATTTATGCACATCTATGAAGTTATTGCAGAAAATTAAATCCAGAATTCTGTTGTTACAGTTTAGTTGACTATTATACCGAGATAAGGAACATAAATTGAGAGTATCAAAAAAGTCCGACTGAATGGGACCTTGAATATTAGAGGGGCATTGAGATTGCCCATCGTCAGCTAGGTGCCATATTATATTCGGCAAATTAAAATCCCCTAGAATTAAAAAACCGTCTGTCAAGTTATTTAACACAGTCTCATTTAATTTAGTGTAGAAACATTTTAATTGCTGTAATAAAGAATTACCTAAGTTTTGATAGCACATATAAACAACACAGATATTTAATTTGTAACACATATTAGTCGATGCACGCTTTAGGGCCGGAGTAATCCATATATCCTCCGCTGATGAACGCCATTCACTGCGTTCAAAAACTATAAGCTCTCGTCGAACGGCAATAAGAACGCCACCCCCCATACTTTGACCTGTATCAGAATAATTCCTAACACATTCAGTCTCGCTGAAGTCCTCATTAAGCCACGTTTCCGTTAAGCACATTAAGTCGTAATTATTCATAACGATATTCCTATATAAAGTTGCTACTTTAGTCCGTAAGCCCCGGACGTTTTGGTAGTATAATATATTATATTTCTTTAGGTAAATGTTTTCGCAACAGGATAAACAATAAACTAATTTGATAAGTAATAGTAGCAACTACAAATAATATACGTTGAGGCATATTAGAGAATAATTTCTTATTAATTAGTAAAATGCATAAATATTTCATGATATACGCGTATAAGTGAAACACAAAAGTATAATCAATGGCGCGTAAGGAGTGAACTAGGTATTTTTGTGGAGTAATAACAATTATTCTCCTACATTCCAAAAATAACGTGAAAATATGACACATATATAACTCACAGTAAATGTATCCGGTGTATCCTGAGCGACAGATCAAATGATTACGGAATACAGTTGATACGGTGCGAGAGTTACAGTAGGTTAATATAAGTGTTATTATTTTTGTGAATAATGTGCCAAGTACACATAAATAATTCCAACATTCGTACAAATAATAGTAAATAATTACTTGTAATCTGCATTAGCAAGTACATAAGTAAGTATAATAATATATTCTTACTTATATACTTATATTCTTGCTTATATACCTACTTATGTACTTTCGTATATACTTACTTAAATATTTACTTATATACTTGCTTATATACTTGTTTATATATTTACTTATTACTTATATAATTACGTGTATACTTACTTATTTACTTTCTTATATTATTGCTTATATACTTTTGCTTATATACTTACTTATATTCTTGCCTATACACCTGCTTATATACCTACTTATATATTTACTTATATACTTGCTTATATACTTACTTACATACTTATTTATATACTTATGTATATACTTACTTATTTACTTGCTTATATACTTGCTCATATACTTGCTTACATACTTAATTTAACTTAGTTAAAATTACTTATCTTGCTTGCAAGTATAGAAGTAAGTATATAAGTAAGTTTATAAGCAAGTATGTAAGCAAGTATATAAGCAAATATGTAAGTAAGTATATAAGTAAATATATAAGCAGGTATATAAGTAAGTATGTAAGCAAGTAGATAAGTAAGTATATAAATAAGTATTTCTATTGCAAAGCAGAATACTAAACTTGCTGTTGTAACTAATGGGAATCTGCAACTAACTTAAGACAATAAAGGCTACAATTGCTTTGACACTCTTGATGATTAAAGTGCCCCGTAGCCCGGTTGCGCTGTCGTTTGGCGTCAGAGACAATAAATAAACATGTCGATTTGCGGGCTACTTTATAGAAGGGTTATATCACGGACTATAGGGATAAGGAGAACCGTCTCACATGGAGAATAGTTGAAAAAGTGTCCATCTTTAAGCAGTAAATAACAGTTCAAAAACTCTCCACAACAGCGCTGAAGTAGCTAGAGGGTATGAAATGAACCGTCATACTAGTCTGTGAAATTAACTTAGCAGTTGTCGACGGAGTGAAGTGTGCCGAGTTAAGAAATTTAATATTTGTGATGACTAGAGTAGCTGATGAAACTGCAGTATTTAAAACCTCAACTACTCACATTGTCTAAAATAATTAAATATAACCTTAAATATAATAAGAAAAGTCGCCGTGAAACACGTGATTTTGAAAATAAATTTTCGAAAACAATGAAATTATCACTATAAAAAGGAATTATGGTGAAAGCTTGTGCAATAAAAAGTTATAAAAAGTCCCTTAAAAATTTACCCTCTAGCTACAGTGGCGTCAATTTTTAATCACAAAGTAATAAGAGTACTAACGTACCTTTTAATACACACAGACGGTTTTCCTTAGGGGGCATCCATAAATTACGTGAGATGTTTAAGGGGGGGGGGGGGGGAGGGGGGTCGAGTCAAATCTCATCTAATCTTACGTTGGAGAGAGGGGGAGAGGGGTCTCGACAAATATCACTTTTTTTTTCTGGTTGAAACAAAAAAAACTATTTTTTCCATTTAATCCAGATTGTACATGCTTAAGATTTAATCCTAAGCGTATATTGTAATACGATTAACCACTATTGAAATGTCAGATTATTAAAACAATTAGTCAAACCTATGGTCAAGACAAAGAGTATAGTAGGTTTCAAAATATAACTTGGAGTTATTACCATAATCTTATCCAAAAATAAAAATTATCAACAATTAAAATATTGAATTATTTGTATGAAGGTCATGAGAGCGATAGAGAAACGACGATTGTAAGACGTTGTTGATAAATAAAATGTTTAATGAAATAGTACAGTAAAAATTGAATTTTGATTTTGGACTAAAATTCCGATCCAATTTTATTTTTTTATAAGGTTTAGTATCACTTACTTAGCATAAAACCACAAAATTTTGACAGATCCAGGTGGTGCTTCAAGCGCCATCTTGAAAAAACGTTCTAAAACTTTTAAAACTAAACGTTTTAAAAATTTCTAAAACTTTTGTTTGAAACTTTTTTTCTAATGTCCATACTTTTTGAGTTTTAGAACGTGTAATGTTTTTTTTATTTTTACAATAACAATCCAACGCATTTACGTAAGAAACCCAAATTTGAAAAATCTCACGTGATATTGGGGGATAGGGGAGGGGGTTGAATATAATCTCACGACTTCTCACCTAGGAGGCAGAAAATTTAAAAAAACACCTCACGTAATTTATGGATGCCCCCTTACCTCTACAATCCATGGGTATATTCTTATACGAGTATGTATGAATGTCGAACGTTGATTCACACAGATACGGGTCTATTCGGCAAGTTTCGCATGGCCCAAGTGTACTCGATGAAGAACCAAAGAGCGCGCTTCATGGAGATTCTTGGAGACAAAATGGACCGGCGATATATTACCAGAAATCAGGTAAAGTCATTATGACAATGTTGAAATCTTTTTTATAGAATATGGGTGACAATTGAGCACACAGTCCACCCGATGTTTTGTCCACCTCAGGGCTTATTCCAGCTGTGGACTTTACATAGGCTATGATGGTATCGGTAACTCTCCATTAGATCCCATTGCAATTGCAATTGAGGAGTTTGCATGAGGACTAATAATCTTCCGCTGACCAGATGGAGAAGTTAATTTTAATTGAAAGTTTTTAGAGTATTATATTAATACAAAAAACAATGCATTAGTGGTTTGCTCTTAAATTTTTTGCTTCTTTTTTTACCGACTTCAATAAGGAGAAGGTATTCCATTCGACTGTATGTTTTTTTATGTGTTACCTCAGAACTTTTCTCTGGGTAAACAGATTTTTTTTTTTTTAAGCTGCTTTTCGTGTGGTCTCTTTGATCGTCGACCCAAAAATTTTTGAGTTTTCCTTAGATAATGCGTATTTAATTGACTTCGAGTACATTGTTTCGGTGTCGTTTTGAAGTCGGTTGTACAAAATTTTCAATTTTCCTCTTGTTAACCCTTTTTTTTAGTGCTACTACTTTTAAGAATATCTGTGGTTTGTTTTACTTTTTTTTAATCTAATTAAATTAAAATATAACTAATAGTACAGAGAGAAACATTAACGTAAAGAACAAATAAATTTCTCCGAAATGAAATCTGTCAAATATTTCAACATACACCTAATTTTAAGAGGCACCACCCTAGTGGCAGAAAAGTCGTGGATTCGTCCTCATTGTAGGCACGCAGCCGCTGTCGGCTCGACCGGGGAATAAAACCGGCGCAAAATAGAAGCAAAACGCTGTTTTGTTTAATATGGTAATGGTAACATTTAATGGTAATATGGATTTTAATTCTTAATCGATTAGTCGTCTTTAGGGAATAGCATCCACTAACCTTTATGTGAACTGTGCGCTTGATAGTCCATGCACGCAGATCTAGAAAGAAAGATAGACACTACGTACATTTCATCCATTCATCCATTATTATAGACTATAAAAATCGACTGGTGAACTTAAGCCTCCTCCATAGACTGCTTCATAGGGGGCATTTCGCGGGTTGCATTTTTATAAAAATAATTGTAACTAAAGATGTTAATAGTTATTTTGCAACCATCCGCTCAATAAAATGAAATGATGTGTCTTACCTAGTTTGAAGAGCACCTCCTGCCCTCCCTCAATTTCGTGCACTAATCCCGTCACCACTACTCCCAACACCACTATTCTAAGAGAGACACACCATCGACGATAATACGACACATGTTTCGCTTCTACACGAGGTATGAGGTAAAGTAAAAAGTAAAGTTATATGTCCCACTGCTGGGCACAGGCCTCCCCCTAATTTCTGAGAGGGTTCTAGGGCAAGGAAGTTTTCGCCGCGCTGCACCAATGCGTGTTGGCGAACTTCACATGTCTTCGAAATATATTTTTTTTTCTTATTTCTCAGACATGCAGGTTTCCTCACGATGTTTTCCTTCACCGCCGAGCACGTAGTAAATCAGGACTTAAAATTGCAATTAACAATTTCATTGGTGCCGGCGGGGATCGAACCCAGGTTACTCGCGTTCTGTTATATTTACAGCGAGCGTTAACCATCTGAGCTACCACGGTTCTTTAGGTATGAGGTAAGACACATAATTTTATTTTATGAAGCGGATGGTTGCAAAGTAACTATTAACATCTTTAGTATAATGGATTTCCGCAAAGTAACTACAATTTTTTTTTTAAATTTAATTGAATCTTCATTTTCATTTTACCCCTGTCGCTTCTAACAACACCCATGGAACGATATACGGTAGTGAATATTCTTGCACTACCACTACCCACTACATGGTAAAGTACATTTAAAGTGATGACGAAACCGTGCCAAATCATAAGAACACGTATAAATTGCTGCACGTAACTCTAGCGCTGAACGAAACATGGAAGAGATAGCTGCGAATATCGTGCGGAATGCGACTGGAGATCCAATCAGCGCGTGCGAACGATATACGCAATAATGCGCGGCCAATTATGCACAATAATGGTTCCTGCTAGACTTTCGTGCCGTGAGTTGTAGTCACTCACACATATGGATTTTAAATTATTTACAATGAACCAAATGGTTTCTTTATTAATCTGATCCCTTGCATACAAACGTGTTTATTGTGCAGTTCCTCACTCGGGGCCACCTTGCTCCAAGAGTTGATTTCACATTGGGCGCTCTCCAGCGAGCTTCGTTCCATTATATAAACACTGCACCTCAGTGGCTGCGAGGAAACGCCGGAGACTGGGCCGCCTTAGAAGATGTGAGTGGCGAGTTGTTTTTCAATTTATTAGGCAATCGGGACGTCTTCTTCTAGTGGTCGTCAACACGATTTTAATTAAGAGGTCCCGGGTTCGAATCCTGCATCGCGCTTAAACAAGTTATTGGGTTTTTCAGTCAATAAATTGTTAGTAGTAGCCCGAAGTCATTAAGTTGGGGGTATTTAACCCTGAGCCTCAGAAAACACGTACAGCCGTAGGTCCGGCACCTGATCTCACTCCGGTCGTGCCGGATTGCATTATGGAGTAAGGGAATAGAGTGCACCTGTGTTTGCGCACACACTTGTGCACTATAATCATGTCCTGCCGATGGCTAGTATCCGTTGAGACTGGCTGTCGTGACCGAAATTCAGTCTGGAGGATATTACTTGGGTTATCCACTTCCCTAATGAACGGAAAATTAGGCCCGCCAAACACTACATATAGAATTCCGTTTCGGAATTCCGAAACAGAACGAACGGGTCGTCCACACACATACCGAATCCCGTTTTGCGCGCGAAATTTCGAACAGAATACTACCTAGTAGGTGTGTGACCTAGTAGGTCTTCGATTTTATATGGACTTGCTGCGTTCGGAATCCAGAATCGGAATTCCGAAACAGAATTCCGTATGTACGTGGGCGGTCTAAATGACTGATTTCATATGGACGTGTTGCGTGTTGCGAAACAGAATCCTGAAACGGAATTCCGTATGTATGTGGCCGGCCCATCGTTTCGTTTTGGAATTCCGAAATGAAATTCCGTATGTATGTAGTCGGCTTAACGATAGTGTTAGAAGTATTGTTATAGCTTTTTTTTTAATAAATAAACAAAATCACAATTCAGGCAGTTCGCCGTCGTGCCTACAGAAATGGATCCCGTTTAGTTGTGTACACGGGCACTTACGGCGTGTGTACCCTCGCTGATGCACACAATGAACAACAGGAGTTGTTTCTAAACGTCGATGACAACAACAATGGCGTCGTACCCGTACCTCTTTACTATTATAAAGTAGGTATTTTATTCAGCATCCTTATTATTTGATTACTTTTATAGCTCGTTTAATCACTATAGTTTTATGAAAGCCTGATAATCCACTAACACAGATGGCTTTTGGAATCGTTAGCAATCCTTGTGGGTGGGAACAGAACAGTGACTAAAACGGCTCATGAAATGGGACTCATGAATTCGTCGCAGACTTGAATCATCGTAACAAATCGAAGATTTGGAGGTCATAAAACTCCTGAGCCATCTCAGACAACATAATGTAGGTTGAACCGCAGTTACTGGGGGTTTCGTGATACATTCGATATTATCCGCTTGATCCCAAAGAGTGGTGGTTTATCATCATAACCATCATCATTACAGCCCTTCACAAGCCCACAGCTGAACACAGGGCTCCCCCAAGGAACGCCACAAATCACGGTCGCGAGCCACCTGCATCCATTGACTTCCTGCATGTCTTACCAGGTCGTCACTCCATCTAAGGGGAATTGTTAGCCCTACACTTAATGGCGCCTCAGCAGCATCGATACGAGGCTGCCACTCGAGAACCTTTCTTCCCCATCGGTTATCGGTTCTTCGAGCTATATGGTTAGTCCATTGCACTTCAACTTACTTATCCGTTGGGCTATGTCGGTTACTCTGGTTCTACTGCGGATATCCTCGTTTTTAACTCCCTCACGCAGAGTAGCCCTGAGCATAGCCCTTTTCATAGCTCGCTGAGCAATTTTGTCAAAATACTTTTTTTTTGAGTTTCCTCATACGGCCAGCAGTGAAGGACCACGTCTCAGACCCATAGGTCATCACTGGCAACACGCACTGGTTGTACAATCTAGTTTTGAGGTATGCCTAACGAGAAGATATGTCGTAATTTCCGAACGCTATCCAGCCGAATCCGTCGATTGATTGTCGTCGTCGAAGTTGTACTTACCTAGTCTGCGTGCGAGACGATTCGTAATTACTCTTGTGGTCGTGGAAGAAAAATGGGAGATCTCCCGCCGGGCAAGGTGTTCTGCTCGGGGAGCGGCTCACACTCCTTGTGATAGTTCGGAGATGTTCTATATATGCTGTTTATGATTCGGAATGTTGATAGCGTGATTTAGACTTCGATGTGTTTCGCTTGTGGCGCGACGACATCGCCGCCACATCACCCCCCCGCTCAGACCGGAGGTCGATAGTGCAGCCAAGTTGCCGACGAATATGCAAGTGCCAGGAGATTGCCTTTTACTCTGTGGTGAGTCGAGAAGAAGGCAAGTAATCTGCGAGAGTGCCGTGAAGCAGTGGCGAACAGTAAGGCTCAGAGCCGTGCCGAACACTGTATGTCGCAGAGAGTAGCTTGAAAGAACAGGAAGTATTATTATTCCAGTGCTGCTATGAACCTTGTGAAGCTAGATGGCTTGCAGGATATGAAGACTGCAGACGATATCTGCTCGGGAGCGAATGGGTGGGGTACTCTATGAAGATGCTGAAGCTTGAAGTTTCCGAAGGTTGTTGGTTGCGTGTTTAGATCACATCGGTAAGACACGTCGGTTAGTCACCACTAGAAGACGCGCCAGTTAGCAACGAGACCTTTATACGTGTAAAGGCGCAGGTCGCTCCTTGCTCCGTCGCTCGATTGTTAACATACAAATTACGAAAACAGCACGTAGACGCGGCTCAGAAGGGAAATCGGTCTGTAGTTCTTCAAGAGAGCGTCGTCGCCTTTCTTGAAGAACAAAACCACCGCACTTCTGCTCCACGCCATATTGCCACCATGGAGGACAGAATTAAATAGCTTCTGAAGGACTTTAAGTACCGGATTTCAACCCGCATTCAGAAGTTCCGCTGTAATTCTGTTCTCGCCCGGGGAATTGCCGCATGCGTTTGGAGATTTGTCTGTTTAGTTGCCTGTATGCTGTCAAATCTACTGAAGACTGCAGCTTCATCTCCCGTCTAACAGCCATGAGATTAAGAGTGTGATCGGAGAGTTTTAGTGTTCTTCTGCGACGGGTCTTCAGAACTTAGCTCCGACCGCATGGACAGCACGACTTGTCATTCATATCGTTAACTACATTGCGGTCTTCTAGGTACTGAAAACGATTTTGTAACTCGAGCTGAAAGTTTTCGAGGTTTTGGATTAGAGCACGAGGGGGACGGAGCGTTGACTTCAAAAGACGTGACCTCTCCAACTTAACAGTTAAGGTCAGTGTGCCTCTCACCATTCGTTGATCGCTGCCAGTTTTCACCCTTGCGATCACTGAGACACCACTGAACAGTTATCGTCTGGTCGTCATAATGAAGTCAATCACATTTTTTGTCGAACCGTCGAGGCTTGACCGGGTCCACTTTGTGTGGGGCCGCTTCTGGAAGAAGGAGTTCATCATAAAGAGTTAAAGAGTCCTCCTTTTCCATAAAATCGGCCAGCTGCTGGCCCCTTGAGTACCGTTGCCCCATCCCGAATTTCCTTACGTTCAGCTCAGTGTTCTCTCTAGTGCCTAATTTTGCGTTGAAGTCTCCCATTAACACCGTATAGTGGGTTTTAGAGGAATGCGTGGCTCTAGGTATATCCTCATACATTTCCTCCACGTCCTTATCGAGATGTGCCGAGGTTGGTGCGTAAACCAGTACGACCTTTATTGAATATCGTTTTGGTGATTCTGAGTATAAGTACGCAACCCTCGTCAACACACTCTCAATCTTTACAACGTTGTTAACGGGAGACTTGTGGACGTTAAATCCGATACCTGATAGAACAAGTTGCCGGATTCGAGGACTACCGTGTCCTTCCCCTGTCTTCGGACCTCAGATAATCCTACAACAACCCAGCGCAACTTGTCTCTTCTTCCAGATCCAGGATCTTTTCGTCAGTCCTCAGGGTGCGTGCGTTATATGTTGCCAAGTTAAGTCGTCTTACGTGGCAACCGAACCTTAACCGAAGATTCTTAGCACCCCCTGCCCCACCGTTACCATGGTCGCCACCGTAGTCAGGAATAGCGGGGCCGCCGGGGACTGAGGCTGTTTATTTATGTGTTTGCTCATAGGGGTGTATTACCATAGTTACCACGCTTGGCGAGCAGGTTCGTAACCAGTTTTTTTGCTGTTATCAGAAAGATTCTGCTGCAAATCTGCCTCAGTTTCCCTCTGTCGCCTCTTACGACACCCACGGGAAGATATGGGGTAGTGGGTAATACTACCCGCCACTACACGGGACGGTTTAACAATGGGGATGTATATTTACTATTTTTTTAAGTATTGCCGCCAGTCTCTGTGTCATCATCATTTAACAATTGCGTTTTAAATTAACTACGCAGGAATATTCTAAGTCTAATGGAAAAAAAACGTTTTTCGGTTTCTAGTGTATGCTGTATACACAAGCAGTGCTGTGTTCTTTCATTTTATACACATTTTTAACTTTTTTTATTCTTATACTCGTAGTTTGGTTCATAGAATTCTAATAAGAATAATATAATTATTCGAATTAGAATTTTATAATATTAGACGGTAGTATCTATATTTTATACAAATAAAAATATTAATCTTGTCACTTTACTAACAATTAAACTTTAGATCTTTTAAATATTTCACCAAATATTTGCCCTGGTGGCAGAAAAACTATGACATGAATTTTCAAGCAACATCGATATTTGTAAGGTTAGTTATTCTCTACCACATAATCGAGGTGAAGTAAAGTAATAAAAAATATTTCGTGGAAATGTGAAGTCCGTCAACACGTACTATGATAGCGCGGGGGACTAATTGCTTCATCATTATAGCCTATTAAAGTCTGAATATACCCCCCCCCCCCCTTGACACGCGTGTTGGCAACCGCAGTTTAATAGTTCTTTTGAGTTGTTATTAGGAAGATGCTGCTACTTTTTTTTTTGCGCCCGAAGCAAATATGGGCAACCCTCCGGAAAGCGGGGGAGGGAGGTTGGGAATGCTCATAGCATACCACGCAGCCGGCTGCGTGGTTATGTGGAGGCTTTTACCCACTAAACTCAACCTTTTAGGAATTGGCTTAACGATCTGACTAGAGATCTCTAAGCCGTATACGAACGCGACCCTCCTTGGCAGAAAGGAGGGCGCAATGCTGCTACCTATCACCTGTTCCAGTTTCCTTTTGTCACCTCTAAGAGCCGTGGTAGCTCAGATGATTAACGCTCGCTGTAAATATAATATAATAAATGAGGGGACGCCTGTGCCCAGTCGTGGGATGTATATAGGCTGTAACTTTACTTTTACTTTACTTTTGTCACCTCTTAATATATCCACGGTTTTATATTTGCTCTATAACTCGCCCGAAAACAGAAGGAAAAGGCCTTCATTGACATAGGTCCAGCCTTGGAATATTAGGCTGTAGGTTTGAATATTTTGGTTTTTTTTCTTAGAAATTACCTACCACTGTGAACGTAAAAAAGTTGGCGATGATAATTATGTAACCTTTTTAGGTGGTGTACGACCCTGAAAAAGAAACTGCGGTTGCTTTTGTTTCAATCAATTCATCCTTTTATAATCGAACTATGTTGGATCAGCTGACGTTCTGCAATGACATATGTGATGGGAACTGGAATTATTCGTGGCTAAGATGGCGTCCGAATGACGGCACGTACAGTTTTTGTTGTGATTACGAAGAATTCGTGAAAGAAGTTGAACACTTGCCGAAGCTTGTTGTAAGAGGAAGATTTTATTGAGCTGTGTTAAATAAAACTCTGTTTCTTTCATATATTATAATGTATATTGAATTTCTTGCAAACAATCAGACCTAATGTTACTGTTAACAATTAAACCCATTTGCTTTATTTATAAAAGTCACTGGAAGTGTTTGAAATGAATAGTGTTGTAGTTATAGTCCTAATAAACATATCCAGATATATAACCAACACTTATAACCAACTTAATGTAGAGCAGCGTCGATACTATTTCATTATGAACAGCTCGTATTATTGGTAAACATTTAAAAAGAAAATCATATCTTTTGTTTAATAGCAATATAATTTATGTTTTAGTAGTCTGTGACTGAAATATTGAAAATTATTGTATTACAATCTGTCTATAACTGAAATAATTAATGAATATCACCAACAAGACAATTCTGCAACAACAGCTGATATTAAATGAGTAAATGACAGAGTTATGGTGGGGACTTGACCAGCGCGGCGCGGCGGCGGATTGCTGCACATGTATTATTGTTTAAATAATGATTTGATGTGAATTTTCAAATGTAGAAGTGGTGCGATTTTTTGTATTAAATATCTGCGCATGATATTAGTGGTAACAGTTAGCAAGTGCTCCGATAGTGATGTGAATCTCAAGATAAGGTTTCTGTCTGCTTAGCCGCCTTTAACACTATCACCAGCTGTTTGTTAGCTCAAGTTGCCGTCAAAATCTCTCAAGGGCTGCGTAATGTGACATATCAACATATTGTGAAGCAGTGCATAGGATTATTATCACTTGATACCTTTGAGTATTCAACCAATGCTTTCAAGTGGTTTATTACTACTGACCTCAAGTAGGCTGGACTGGCTATACCATACAAAATGTCTACGCCAATTTGAAGCGCCACCAGTTGTCGTCTTGGGGACTAAAATTGACATAATATGCCAAAGTCTGTTGTCTTATTTAAATCTTATCTCTGTATCTTGAACTTTTATACTAAAAAAACGAAATATTTTATGTGGTTTGATTGTGTGTAATTTTAGTTACATAATAAGAATTATTTTTAATAATAATGAGAGTGTGAGGAATCTGTAAAACTCGTTAACAAAGGGAAAGTTGTATAACATTCCAATAAGTAAGTGAATTTGCAGGTAATATTTAACTAATCAAAACTATTTGATAATACAGGTAGAGGAAGGTTCGTTAAAGTGACCCAGGCGGGTAAAGTGGCCACCTTCTTTTTAAGAACCAACCAAGTAGCGCCATTTGTCAATGACTTATGGAAATTATTTATTAGCCGACGCCATACTGCTCCAGTAAACACTGTGGCTTAAAAGCATAAATATTGTGATTTGGCGTCCGAAACAAAATGACCATCTTTCTTCTAAACGTTTCACAGACGACTGTTTTATTAGACATGAGAAACACACCACTTTGAAAAGTGCAGTTTACCGACAATATTTTCTGGTGGTAACAGTACCAGTAAGTATAAAAGTATTAAATTATTATTTCGAATGTTTTTATTTCTTCTCTTCTCACTTTCCCCCAAACTCAAGGTTTAGAAAGGTCGCCTGATGATGTCGAGCTACGTTGGATGTATTTTGTGGGTTGCGGCTAGATTTAGAAGATTCCTCTCCCTGAACCGCTGTAGTCGAGGTGTAGTCGTAAGGAAAGAGGAGTGTTAGTATGGCGATGGACGATGCGCCATTTGATTATCCTCCGCAACTTTGGTGAGGCTGCACCATATCGGGCTCGGAGAGTCCGTAGTGCAGGTGTAGTTAGAGTCCACGAAGGGCAGTGCCTTATCTAAGAAGGAAAACAGGGAGGAGAAATCCGGATGTGCATGAAAGCGTATTTGGGGCCCTGCCAATGTGCGGTGGAGGTAGAACATCATTGAGTTTTAGTAAGTGCGAGTCTAGAGATTTAATTCTCTCTCGAGTCTCGGGATTTAATTTGTGCTTTAACTTCTTAGTTGCCCTAATTTAGTTTCTTTCTTATTTACAAATTCTGGCTATCGTTTATATTCACAGTTTTGACAGTTTCCTCTTGCGCAACATTCACCGACAAAGATGATCAAGTGTTCGATCAAGAACTCATGGATTGCGATATGTCAAGCCCCTCAGAATACGTGGCACTGCCGAAGCTGGAAAGCTTAGGAGCTAGTGCAATATGCACGGACTAAGGTGATCTGGATGTTGATCTTGAAACCATGTCAGGCGGTACGTTGCTGCCCCCAGAATACATAGAGTTGCCAGAGATTGAGAGCCAAGGAAGAGATTCTTCTTTTTTATTTTGGTATCTTGAACTTTCTTTTCTTTTTTAATTAGTAGCAAACCGTGGCAAATGTGATGTGTAGTTTTCTTAATTGTTGTGTAATAGTTGTTTATCAATATAAATTATCTTAAATTATCATACGAATTTTCACATATCGTCAGGCATACTTCTCAACTAGATGGTACAAGCAGTGCGTGTTGCCAGTGATGACTTACAGATCTGAGACGTGGTCCTTCACTGCTGGCCGTATGAGGACGCTCGAGGTTTCTCAGCGAGCTATGGATAGGGCTATGCTCGGGGTTTCTCTGCGTGATAAACTCAGAAATGAAGATATCCACAGTCGAACCAGAGTGACTGACATAGCCCAAGGGATTAGTAAGCTGAAGTGGCAATGGGCCGGCCATATACCTCGAAGAGCCGATAACCGATGGGGAAAAAGGTTCTGGAGTGGCAGCCTCGTACCAGTAGGTGAAGTGTAGGGCGACCCCCACTATATGGAGTGACAACCTGGTAAGACATGCAGGAAGTTGATGGATGCAGATGGCTCAGGATCGTGCTTTGTGGCATTCCTTGGGGGAGGCCTAAGTTCAGTAGTGGTCTTGTGAAGGGATTTAATGATGATGAATGATAATAACATTATATTAATATGATATATAAATAGAATGGACGTTACGGGTAGAGACCATCTATACATAGAATCCATTTTATTTATTTAAGTATAGGTAGGGAATAGAATATTTAATAAATATTCTATTCCCTGTCTTACAAAATATATCGATAAATATTATTTATCGATATATTTTGTCACACCGTCTTACCTCTATTATTAGTTTCGTGGACGTTCCCTTCTGCCATCAGCGAAATGGCGCAAATCAAATCGCCTTATCATGTCACGGTGTATAGCCAGTCCAGGGTAATTTTATACATAGAGGTCAGTACTTATTACTCAAAGCTTGATATTGCGATAAATGAAGACATGACTTAAAGAACAAGCATCCAAGTCAAAAATAAGTACAATTGACATCGACATTGTTTGCAGTGAAGACAACTTAGCGCTTTTGTTGTGTAAGTGCAACAAGTTTCTAAAGCCTCATAAATTAAAAATATGTATTATTTAACGACATTCTATCGACACTTTAACATCAATCAACCATCATATCAAGCACCATATCCCAGTTACAATTTTGAATAGTAGTTGGAACCGTTTTCTGACTTGGAAAAGTGCAATATACGTAAAAGATAAGTTAATTTAAAAGTTAAAATATACGCGATAAATTCGTAAAAATGTTTATTTCAAGATAAGTTAACTTTACAGTTAAATTCTATAAAAGAGTTAAACAAGAGATTGCCAAAGAATTTTCATATGTTTAAAAAAAAGAGTATAATTAATGTTACCGAATCTTTAAAAACGAACAAAGGGTTGAAAATCATTCAATTAATTAAAAGTTTTGGCATAAGTGCAGGTGAGATAAATGAAATCTTTGTCCAGTTGCGCAATGTAGTATCTGAGACATGGATAATTACAAATGTTATTATACAATTTTGGACGGAAGTTAAAAAATACAAAGATGCTGGTGGTAATAATCCATTTCAAGAATTGGCAGAACTTGATTTACATGTTTTGGTGTTACCCCACTCGAACGTTGACATCAAAAGGATTTTCCGTTAGACGAACGTAATTAAATCAAAGTTACGAAATAGTATGAATCTTAATACACTCGATTTTTGTATTAGAACTGACTTGAATTTTTGTTAATTCGATTTGCTTTATTACGAAATTCTAAAAGAAGTGACAAAAAAGTAGGCAGCAAGTATGTCTATTATACTAATAATACTATTATAAACTAAAACTAATATTTTTGATTCAAACTGTCAAAATTCCACTACAGTACAAGCAGAACTTTCCTTTTCTACTCAGCTGGAGAGCCAGGAAAATGTTCAAAAAGAACAAGATTCTGACGATGAAGAAGTGGCTAATAAATTTGTAAATAATTTCTGTTTATGTGTAATTTTAAATAAAAATAATAATTACCATTTTTTTTGTTTTTATAATTTAGCGCTTTTTTTTTCTAAAATATCCAAATCTAGGGCTTTTTTGAAGTGAATTCAACGCGTTTTCTTTAAGGATTGTTGGCAATGGCAACACTAGTTGTTTGACTTTGATTTGACGTTGTTTATGCGTTGTTTCTGAGATTCTGAGAAGAGGTTATGTAGCTGTTTTGTTAGTTTTCTTTATGATTGAAATTTTTATTTTTCTGTATTTCTTGCTTTATAAAATATTAACTAAAACTATTGCATTGAAAAACAAATCATAAATGGAATGTCCAACCGATGTTATAATTAAAAAAGAAAAAGACGATTTTCAATTCGAAAATGAAGAAGGACTTTTAGAAGTGAACTACGATGTAAAAATTGAAAGTTGCACACTGTTTAACGATGTCGACTGGTGTATTGAGAACACCGCTCTTTTGGAGGAGATTGGAAAACAATTTCATGAAACGGTAAATGATGAGAAGACTCTGCAAGAGTGTCGACTGTGTGGCCAAAATTTTCCAGATAGGTAAATTGCAACTAAATTACTTTATAATTTTTAAGAAGTCCGTTGGTCATTGAATTTCAGTCAGTAATTTAATTTGTGTGCTTATTTGTGATATATCAATTATATCATATGTATTTTATTTCCATGTATCCCATGTATTACAAAATTTTTGTTATTTTAGTTTAGTGTTCTCATATTAACTTTTTACTACACCTACTTCATACTATCTCTGCATCACCCCAAGGTAGACTGGTAGAGAATTCCTTAGGCATTAAGTCCGCCTATATACCATGTGTGTATACAAAGTTTTAAATGAATAAATATATCTACTCTATTATAATGACAGTTTGATAAAATAAATAAAAAATATGCCTCAACGACACCCTCCTTAAAAGGGATGCTAATATCCTCTGACATTATTTAGTTAAAAAAATAAACTAAAGTAATCTTAACATGAAATGGGCTTAGGGGCCATTCATTAAACTTAAGGATGATTTTGACGATTTTTAACCTCCTATACCCCAATGTAGGGGTACATAAGTTTTCCCGAACCCTCCCCACATCTAACATAAGTTTCTGTCTCGTTTTTTAGAATAATAAAATATTGTTAGAAAAAGATCAGTACACTAAAATTCATGGTATGATGTAAATCAAAGATTTTTATTTATTAACAAATAATTTTAGGTTATATTCTTTTTTTTCTATCAGATATAGATTACCATTGTATTATTATTAGACAATGTGTTGAGATAGTATCCAGTGGAATATCATTATATAAATTAATAGTTATATACATGTTGTAGCATGAATGGGTAGGCTTAACCAGAGAGGGACCACTCTCTCACAGAATACCAGCGTGAAATAGTAGCTTAATGCTGCTGTATTTCGTATGGTGAGTGTAGAGGACCGGAGACCGTTTTTACTGGAAACGAGGTATTCCATCTTAGTTCTCACGGGTGACAATGCATGTGCATTTTAGGATAGAGATAGATAACTATGGGTCACAGCAACCACTTACCATCAGGTGGACTGTGTGCTCGTTTGTCACCCTATCCTATAAAAAAAATCTTTAAGAGAGCAAACATAATTCAGTTAAACAATCTACAAACGAATACTTAACTTTTACTAATAACTTTTAAAATAATGATCAACTAGTTTTAAATTAATCTTTAAAGAAAATTAAATACACAGTAAAAGCTTGATCACTTTCAATCATCAATTATAGTCTGGACTGAATGGGTTAGTAAGCTATGTCATCCACAATTTTTTTTGCCACCAGGGCAGCGCCACATAAAAATGAGTGGAAGTTAATTTGTTTGAAAAATTAAAGGTTATTGTTTTTTTCTATACTATTAGTTATAATTTATATTAATTACATTAAAAATGAATTAACCAAACCGCAAATGTTCCTAAAAGAAGCTATTGAAATTAAAAAACATCCTAATTTCAATAGAGAAGGAGGCTGGGTTCTACCACCTGCTTGGGACCCTATAATTAATAAAATTAAAACTAAACCCAAGCATACCACTGCCAGACTTAACACAGTTAGTTCATTTAGCATAGATCAGACCAAAGACAATAATTAAAAAGCTGAAGGTACTCCGGGTTAACTTTGACATTGGGACGTCAGTCACCACAGTTCCCCGTGACCATGGGTGCTGGAAAGCGCCCGAAACGTCGGGTATTAAAAATAAAAGTAATTAAAAGTAAAATAAACGCGATAAAATCCGTAAAAGTAGTTTTAATCAATAAAAGATTGATTTTATTCTGATATACTATATTTTATGTGTGACAAATGTGTGACTGTCATCTGGTAGCAGGTTTAGAGAATTCTCTACCCCATGTCACACCCACAGGTAGCCCAAGAGGTGACAGAGGGAAATGGGCAGCAGTATCTTGATAAAAATTTACAGTTATATGTACTAGCATACCAGCCAAATTTAGCCACAATGGAAAATGAATGAATGCACTGTGTGAATATGTTCAGGATACCCGGCCAAGTCATGTGACTTTCAGGAATTAACATCTTAGCTGACCTCCAATCTTATATTTGAGCATCACACCAAGCATAGCCATGCTGTAAAATTTGTACTTTTGGCATTATAATTGCCTTCTTAGTTTTTATAATTAATTGATTTATATTGTAAGGTATGATTGCCTTGTTGGTCTAGTGGTCATAAGCAGGACTAGTGATCATGAGTTCCCGAGTTTCATTCCTGAGTTGCATCAAAAAAATCAATTTTAGAGGTTTTTTCGTTAAGAAAGTCTTAGTAGCAGCCCAAATGCAACATAACAATATCATTTGGGAAGCATGTAAATTGTTTATCCTTCGCCCAATTTTACTAAACTTGTATTGGATTGCAATCCCATTGGATTGTGAGAGTGAGGGGATTGAGAATGCACCTGTGTTTGTGGACACACTTGTGACCTGGCTAATTAGTGTTGAGACCGCTGTGACCGACTGTGAAATTTTGGTCTGGTATACCAATCATTATTATGTTGTATGATCTCATGTCATGTCTGAGATTTTCCACAAGGTTGTACAATTAGCTAGCGAATAATCCACTGCTGGATTTCTGAATATGGAAGATTTGCCATTATTATCATGATTTGTAGTCCCAAGCATTTCAGTTTTCAAAGAGTCGGATGATTAAAGAAGCTTTTATTGATTTTAAATGTTTTTGTTACAGCTATTCTTTATTTAAGCATAACCTAAAACATTTAAAGATTATGCTTGTAAAACCAACCATTTATCAATGCAACACATGCCTAATTTGTTTCATAAAAAAAGATAAGCTCAAAGACCACATCTTTAAGAAACATGTTGAGCCAAAAAAACCTTTTAATAAGCCGGATGTACTCAAAACAAAAACGACACATGTATGTTGTATTTGCGACAAGGTTTTACCATATAAAAGTTGGCACAGTCATATGAAGGAAGTGCATTCCAATAGTCCTGTAAAATGTCCTCAATGTGGAGAATTATTCAAATGTCATAGGTACCTACGAAGACATAAAATGTTTGTACATGATGGTGTAAAGAAAGCCTGGCGAATGAATACCAAAATCAATGAGAAGCTACCTTGCGATGAATGTAAAAAATTGTTACCTAATCGCATAGCGCTGAAAACTCACAAAATAAATTGCCACAGTACTAGACAATTCCAGTGTTACATCTGTAAATCATTACTTAAATGTAAATCGTATTTAATGACGCATATGCGTCGAGTGCACTACTTTGACGGTAAAGAGCACATGTGTGATATCTGCGGTAAGAAATTCAAGTCCCCGAGATATGTCAAAATTCATATTAAAAACAGTCACACTAATAAGTAAACAAAAATCTCGCAGAATAATTTGGGGAGCTAACTGTTTTTAGGGTTCCGTAGTCAACTAGGAACCCTTATAGTTTCGCCATGTCTGTCTCGTCTGTCCGTCCTCGCTTAATCTCTGTGACCGTTAGCACTAGAAAGCTGAAATTTGGTACCAATATGTGTATCAATCACGCCGACAAAGTGGTAAAATAAAAATTTGAAAAAAAAAATGTTTTATTAGGGTAGCCCCCCTATATGTAAAGTGGGAATTGATTTTTTTTTTAAATTTCAACCCTAACGTGTGATATATTGTTGGAAAGGTATTTAAAAATGAATAGGGGTTTACTAAAATCATTTTTTGATAATGTCAATAATTTCGGAAATAATCGCTCCAAAAGTAAAAAACAATGTGTCCCCCTCTAACTTTTGAACCATAAGTTTAGAAAATATGAAAAAAATCTGAAAAGTAGAACTTTATAAGGACTTTCTAGGAAAATCATTTTGAACTTGGATGGAAACAACAGTACCCACTACCGGGAGCAGTTGCAGGAGCGAGGAGCGCTGCTGGAGCGCGAACATAATGGATACCCACCTTTAAACTCATAAGTGGGAACACTTATTGTGACGGACGGGAAACTACGGAACCCTACACTGAGCGTGGCCCGACACGCTCTTGGCCGGTTTTTTTAAATTGAATAAGGGTGACATGAGCAAACTGCCTACATCTATTTACAGCCCTGAGGACTAACATCGAGTACGTAGTGGTTCTCTACACTCCATACCAAACAGCAATATTATTTCGCTGTTTCACAATGGCACTCTGTGGGGAGAACTTACCGGGCAATCCTATTTATTTTTCATGCTATGCTATAATTTGACATGCAGTAATATTATACAAATGCAAAATCATTATCAAGGCTTTAAATATTTCTATAATCATTTTTTAATCGGGGTTCTGAGAGAAAACAAAACTTACTAATATGGAAAACATTGGGATTTATCAATAAGACTCCTATAGTTGTTATGGTTAAAAGAAAATAATGAAAATATATGGGAATGATATATATAAGTAACTCCAAGTTATGTCGTGTGACCTTATGTTGATTTTATTTGTTGATAGCTTATGCAGAGATGGGCATCTGAAGGGCACAGGGTAAGAAAGATCATTGTCACTTGACGGATTGTCTTGAGAAAACTAATAAAACTTATTTAACTTTCTCAAAATATTTATTTAAAAACATTGTGAAGTATCTTTTAATACTACAATACCTATGAGTTACCAAATTATACCAACATTATTTTTTTACTAATGCTACATTAGAATTTAAGTAAAAAGCAATAATCCAATATAAGGATTACTGCAAAAAAAGATCAAAGTCATTCTTACAGTTTTAGCATTTATATATATATATATATATATATATATATATATATATATATATATATATATATATATATATAGCATTGGGTGACAATGAGCACACAGTCCACCTGACGGTAAGTGGATGCTGTCTCCCATAGACATCCACATTTAGCCTCAATTAAGAATCAAAATGCAAATGCGTTGTCACCCCTTGAGTACTAAGGTGGAATACCTTGATTCCAGTATAAAGAGTCTCCCATTCCCTACACTCACCAGCATTACACTGCTATTTTACGTATGTATTCTGTGAGAGCGTGGTCCTGCCCCGGTCGAGCCGAGCTGGG